TGCTCCCCTCAGCAGTGTACTTCGTCGATCTGCCTGTTCTGTTCCCCACTCTGTCTCTGGTGAGGCCTCTCACCGCCCCTGAGCCTCTGGCCTGTACCCTGGTTCTGTATGCACAAATAAATAAATCTTAAAAAAATTTAAAAAATAAATAAAAATAAGGATCTGTAGCTAATACAGATATAAATAAATCAACAAATAAGAAAAAAAAAGAACAAGGTGTCAAAACAATTTAGCATGCTCCAGTGCCACATGGGACAGAGTAGAAAGAGGCAAAATACATACACACATAGGTGTGTACCTGGGAACACTGTGAAAGAAAATGGCCATCCTCACCTTCACTCTGGGGGTGACTCCAGTCAGTCCCATATGTCACAAAACTCCCTAATCCAGCCTGTACACACTATATTAGTAAACACTTTAACATAAAAATAAACAAAAAATAAAACCCAACTGCCCAGAGTTCATCCTGAGGGTAAACTGAGGGTCTCTTGACCTCTGGTTCAGGTCCCCCGGCACCATGCAGACATGACAACAGGTCTAAAGGTAGACTCATACAGCACTAGTCCGGGAGAGCTGGTGCAAGAGGAAAACAGCTTATGAGCTCACCCAGAGCAACCCCTGGGGCCTCTGAAGGAGCAACAACTGATGTAATTCTACCTTTTGCTCAGTGGCCAAATGCTGGGAGCTAACAGCTTAAGGCCAAGAAAGAAGCAAGAGGTCTGAGATAACACCCAGATCTAGGTCTGGGAGTGGCCTGGCCTCCCTACGCCTACCAAGTATGCAAACGCTAGGGTGGGAGAAACAACCCAAGAGGAAAGCAGTAGGGAGCAGAGGCTCCAGGGGGCTGCCAGGTTTCCCAGCTCTAAGAGCAAAAGGCACAGCACAAGGCGGTGCTTCCAAGGGCCATGAACAACCTGGAGAGGGGCTGCAAGAGGCTGCGGCAACCTTTCTGCAAGGTCTGTTTCCACCTCTCTTTTATAAGGTTGCCCATTCTACACCTCACCCTTGCCCTTGGTTGATCCCAAGGTCAACCCAAAAGTCTAGCTGCCAGGTTAACAATGAAACGGATTTCTGGCTTTATGTTTGGGTGGACTTGGCTGGGGTAGAATCCTTGCAGAATTCTAGAATCTTCAATCCTTGAAGCTATCCCCACATCCTCCAACATCCTCCAAGATCCAAGCAGACCAAGAACCAAAAGAATCAAGTACCGTTTGCCCAAGTCCTAGGGATCTCCCCAATTTAATCACATCATTCCTCGTCTGAAGTACTGCCAACAGTCTCTACCTTGGGCTTGTTTCCATTCTTTTGCCCCTTTATAAGTGTGTAGTCAGAGTGGCCTTTCTAAATTACATATCTGATCATACGTTCCTACTTAGAATTCTTCATAACGCCCTGCTACAGTCGCAGGGTGGTACCCAGGAAAGTGGAGGTTCCAGATTCCCTGCCCCACCATGGAGAAGAATCTGGAGAGGAGACTGAAGAGGGGAGAAGCAGGATGGAGAGCCAGCAGGCGACCTGAGGGAGGTACATGGAGCAGAGAGATACGGGAAGAAGTAGCTCCTGTTTCTTGGTCCTGGACTGGTTGAAACAGATGTGGGCGAGAGACCCATAGGGAGGTTCATTATGGCAGCTTTTATCTTGGTTTAGATTTTGCTCTTCTCCTCCCAGACTTGTCTGGCCATTTCTGACCCTTTCCTAGGTGTCCCCACCAGAAGGTGCTTTAGACTTGTGGCAAGCTTTTGGTCCTTGCTTTGGACCAACCCCTTTTGGTAGATTTTTACCCACAAGGGGATAGATGACTTTGGGGATTTGATTTAGAAACTATATTGTTTTTTCTGTATTGCACACTTTATTAAAATTCCTGTCCATGAAAGGTCTTATATGTTTTGTCTTGATGTGGCAGATGGCAGAACCTAATTAGAGTAGGTAGGTTTGGGGGTTCTGGGGTGCCCCTCTCCCTGCCCTGTAACACTACCATAAAACAAAAACCCAAATTCCTGCGTTGATCCAGGCTGTGTCTCTCTCCAGGTTGCACCATCCTCCACTACTGGTCAAACACTCCTTGTTCCTCATACATGGGACCAGGCCTCAGGCATGCCCTGCCTCCCAGCCTTCTTCACTGGTCAGATAGGTCATCTAGTCCTTGAGGAAGCCCCTTATTTAGGAGGCAAGCCTCCCGCAAAAAACCCAGTGAGGATCTGGTGGGTTGCTTGTGCTTCATCCTTCAGGTTTCTCAGTCATAAAACAGGATCCGTAACCAGCCCCCTCACCACTTTACACCAGGCTGGTGAGATGATATGACATAATGAGTGTCAAGGGCCTTGAAAACTATTAAGTACAATACAAATATAATAAGAAACACCAACAAAAAGCTGCTTTCTTCTCTTACTAGAAAAGGCTCTCAAGGGTTCCTGAGGACACCGTCTGGCCCCCAATCTAAAAAGCCCTCTAACAAATGGACCTGTCCATCATAGCCACTCAACCAACACTGCAGGGCTGGCACTGACAGCCCCGACCTCACAGCCCTCCCCTCTGGGGGTTCTCCCCGCTGCAGCGTGTTCCCCTTCACCCACCCTTGAAATGGTGACCCTCTCTCACATACCTCCTCCCCAGTTGTGTCCTTGACCAGCTTCCCTGCTCGCTGCAACTCACTGGTGCTCTCACACACTGCACCTTCATCATGAGCTTCTCTCCTACTGACTGTCTCAACACCACAGGGAGTTCTCACAGAGATTTCATAATGCGTCTAAAGGCATCCCTGACCCTTGTGCCTACCAGAGCGTCTGGTGGGCAGCAAGTGCCTAGTTTACAATAGTTGGACCAATCACCATGTACCTGCTTCCTCTCCCAACACCTCGACATGCTACGCTTAGTTAACACAGGCTGAAATGCCATTACCAGGGCCTCCCGCACAGACTTTTCGACCATCTCTTGTCCCCATTCCCTGACTGTGCTACTGTCCTGGCTCAGGCACTGCCCACCCTTCACCTGAATCTGCCTCTAGACATCCTCTTGCTCAAGAATCACCCTTCCTACTCCTGTGGTGCCATTCCGAAGCCCAGACAAGATCTGTTACACTGCTGCCCACAATCTCCTGCAGGATAACATCCAACTCCTTATGTGGCATCCAAGGCCTCCCACACTCTTGGATCCATCCTGTAGGTCTAACCACAATGGGTAAGAGTAGCAATAACACAGCTCATAGGTATCAAGTGCTTCCCACGTGCCTCTTAATCCCCATATTAACCAGGCTCACAATTTGACCTAAGGAAATTGAGGCCAGGAGGGTTAAGTAATTTGCCCAGGGTCACAGTCCAATAAGTGCATTGGGTCAGAACTAGCAACCTTTTAAACCCTATCATCTTCCCTCAAAGATTAAATCCTTAAGGGCTGAGGTATGACTTCCTGATTTCCCTTAGGGACTTGGATAAGAGTTGAAGGAAGAGCAGAGCAACAGGTATTCCTGAGATCAAAATCAAAGATAATGTAATCACATAAATTACGCCTAAAATTTTCATAGTTCCAAGATGAGGTATCTATATTTAAAGACACAAACATTTTATAAAATGTAGAAGTGGTGTATGTGTGTGTGTATATATATATGTATACACACACACACACACACATATTAACCTATGATTTACTATAGCCTTCTGACAGTCCTGATAAATTGATGTGAATAAGCAATTATACCCATTTTCTGGGACCAGGAGACAGACCAACTACTATCCAGGTTTTGCTTAATGACAAGCTGCCAGGACAGTACAGTGCAGCAGATGCCAGGTGCCTGGTGAGGATCACCCCTCCCAATGACCACCCTGTTGCTGGAGCAATGTCTCCTGGCAGTGTTGCGGCATGTTCAGGAACAGGATGCACTTCTGCCATGAGCCTCTAATTGCTGATGGGTCTGAGACTTGGCTCTTCAAATATGTGGCTCTCATCCCAGAGGTTCCCACTAAGCTGCCAACTGTTCCCACTTCCTCAGGCTCTAGGAAC